ATTAGAATCTTTTTATTTAATATCCAACCATTTATTCTGTAACAAATTGCTGTTTTTAACTGAAGCAATTTATTAATAAATGGAAAATATCTCCTTTTTAGATTATATTAAAGAAGGACAAACAACATAATCACTCTCATCTATCTGAGAGTGATTATGTTGTTTGTCCTTCTTTAATATAATCTATTGCTTATCTTACATTAGTCAGCTATTTGACCTCCCGTTTCAGAACTGTGTCTCTCCTTCATTGTACGATCATCTTCTGTATGCTGATTGTGAAAATTAAAGATTAAAATAACAATAAAAAGGACCGTACATTGCATGGTGCTCTGTCTTTACCGTAAGCTTTGACAACATTTCCATGCCATACTTGCAGACTGGAATTTACCATTTACTCAGGCTTCATTCCTAGATACATTTACTCCTACACAGCTGGCAAGAGTCTTGCTTCTGGCTTGCTTCGTGTATTGGGTATACCACATTTCTCCAGGCTCGAGTCCTCCAAAAGGTTTCAGACTACAATACCCAGAATTGCCAGTCAGTACTACTGAGTACAAGTTGAAAGAAAGTTTGAGTGAGAGTTAAATTTTCCGTTTATTATTCCATGTACGTTTGGAAAAATAGATCTGGGGAAAAGTATTGCTGGATAAGGTAGGAACAAAATGATCCTGCAAGATCTTTAGTTTGTAATACTATATGACAAATCTTGTTGCATGGATATAAATAGGCATAACTCCTGGGGCACTTTATTTCTTTCTCCCTTGCAATTTATAAGCAGAAGTTTCACTTGGTATCCCATTCAGTGTCTCCGTGTCTGTTTTCTTTTTTGTTGTTGTTAGTTGCAAAGTCGTGTCCGACCCACCACAACCCCATGGACAACGTTCCTCCAGGCCTTCCTATCTAGGTCTGCATATATCTTAATATATCTTAAAGGTTGTTCCTTAGAACATTTCCGTTGTACATTCATAATTCCAAATACAATTTCAATTTTTATTATTTTTCTTTATTTCACAATAGCCAGCAATCTGCCTAGTGAATATGTGTTCTCTTTTCTCTATAAGCCTGTTTCGGCATCCATATACTGAATATAGGGCTTTTTTAAGGGGAGAAAGGGGAAGGGAACTGCCTAAAGCATAGCTCCATATTAGAAATGTTCAGGTTGGTATTTTTTATTCAAGATGGGAAAATCAAACAGTTGAAATAGAATACCATGGACCATTTCAGGATTTTGAATTTTCTGCATATATTCCCATTTACAGGGTTGTTGACCGCATCAGACAGAAAGCAATGGATTTAGGGTTCAGTGAGAGGAAAATGGTAGGGTCATTCAAGTGGACGTTCTTCTCTCAGGCATCTAAAACTTTTAGAAGAGCCCCAGCTGAATCTCTACTCTGCTGATAGGAAGGAGTACCACAGAGTCCTCTGCAAGCTCAGAGATTTACTGGACTTTGAGCACATTCTCTATTTCTCATCAATTAAATTCTCTCATATTGTGGATAAGGAAAAACACAGTGCTGTGATCAGCTGCTTCCCAGCCAAAAGAGTATGAAATACTGTATTTCACTCCTAAGCTCCATTTGAGATGTGCCAGCTGCTGACTTGCAAATGCTTAAGGGAAACAAACAAACAAACAAAAATCACAGGACCCAGTTGTTGGGCTGTCTTTAAATTCAAGGCAGGATTTTGAACAAAAGGATACTTGGGTATATACTCATTTGACACAGGCCAAATGAGGAAAATACCACAAATTTCTATGGGAAAGAAAAAGGAGTTGGAAAGGATGAAATGTTTACTGTACTGCTCATTTTCTTTGCCTGTGCCATCATTGCTGATAGCCTCTTCCCAGGAAGTGTTGAAATTTCCACTACTGATACTGACCCAACCACTGAAATTAAATTATCTTTGCCCAAACATTCCAATTTGGGCTTTGGCAAAAATAAAAGAACTGAAGGCTGTTGAACTGGAACAAACTTTTTTTTTTAAAAAAAAAAAAAAAAAGAGGGGTATATAAGATGGGTATATAATATTTTTGCAACAATTTTTTAAAGAGTAACTTTAAAAAGCAACTTTTACCCTTTATAAAAATTGCGGAAAACAAACTGCATTAAATGTCTATTTGTGTCTCTCTGTGTGTGCATGCATGCATGCTCCTTCAAGTCATTCCTGACTTCTAGAGATTGCCTGGACAAGTCCTTGCAATTTTCTTGGCAGAATTTTCAGAAGTGGTTTGCTACGGTCTTCTTCCTAGAACTGAGAGAGGGACTGGAACAAAGTCACCCAGCTGGCTTCATGCCTAAAGTGGGACTAAAAAGTCCTTGTCTCTTTGTTTCTAGTCTGGTGCTTTGAACCATGAAATCAAACTGGTAATTGTGAAACCTTTAAATTCATTTGATTACAAGACTAGAATCTCTTAATACAGTAAAGAAGAACTTTTAAAAAAACCCTTAGATATGGACTTCTTTCAATATCTGATCAATTTTATCACTTGGAATGCTAGATCTTTACCTCAGTCATACGGACTACAGTGCTTTCCACTTATAGTATGTAATTTGACTCATCTGCTTAAACCACTGGACCTATTTCTTCTACAATCAAATTTTAGATATTTGAGGTATAAGGGAAAATTGAATTGTGACAGAGCTGAGTTCTCATGGGCACAAATCCAGCTGGGTGATGGTGTACAGTCACTCCTCTTAGCCCAAGGAAGAAGTTAGTGGCAAACAATTTCTCAAAAATCTTACCAAGAAAACTACAGTGCCCTGCCTAGGTAGTGGCCTGGAGTCGACAATGACTCACACACACAACACACACACACATCTTGAGACTGGAAATCTACCCTGAGGTAATGCATAGGGATAGGCAAAATTGTTAGACCAAGATCATCTGTTCTGTGCTGGTGTCCCTGGGAACAAAGATGGAGGGAAATGACCTCCAATGAGTAATCTCTTAGGCAAAGAACAACTAAAGGGACAGATAGAAAAGGAGCACAGAACAAATCCTTGATGCTCATTCTAAGCTCTACTGCTCTCTTGGATTCAGTAGCTCATAAAAAGCTGTTGGCTTATTAAATGGCTATGTTTATAGTTCCTCCCTCCTGGGAAGAGATAATCCCACAGTTAAAATCCATAAAAATCTATCTGCCAAATAAGCTAGCCAGTCTAAAACAAATAAATGATTTCCTGAGATATTATGCCCTGGTTTACCTTTGGTTCTTCATCTATGGGTGAAACAAGAATGGCAAAAGGTGACACCCTTACATCGACAGCAAGAGGGGATCTGAAACATCTAGAGACCCAAAGGAGGTAAAGTTCACCCAAAAAATAGTTAAGTGGCAAGAGATTCTTCGCATAACATTAGTATTAGCAGCTAACACTGTTTAAAATAGAAAATCGCTTGACTACTTGGAGATCAATATAATGCTGATCACTTCTTGGAAAATGATCAGTAATTGAAAAGGTTCATAATCTATATCTACATTAATATCATTTAAGGAAATATGAGTATGCTTTGGGCATTACAGTGGCCATGTATCGGGAAGAAACTGGAACCACACTATCTAGCCCCTCCTACTGTACTTGTTGGTACAATTTTTACAAATGATGCACCTCTCTTTTTTCCCCTGTTCATTTCCAAACAAAATCAACGTCCCCATATCCAGGTTATTTGAGGACTCTCTCATCCCAATTTCATCGACCCATCCCACGAGGACAGGGAGGAAGGATGTATTTCGGGCCCTGCTGGTTAAAGATTGTCAGCTGGCGAGATCTAGGAAGACAGCCTTCTCTGACATTGCCCCCACCTTATGAAACAGTTTGCCTCCACTCCTGGCCTTCTGGAAGTGTATTAAAACTTGGCTCTGCCAAATGACGTTGGTGGTACAAAAGTGCCATACAACCCTGGGGGTGATGGGTGGTTGAAAGTGCTCCCCCTGCCTTTTAACTTTGCAATTGTTCCTTTTTGTTTTAAATCTGATTTTTCACTTGCAATTAACTAAAGTTTTTGTATCATTTTAGAGGTTTTTTTCTATAAATTAGGCACAGGCATGCAATTATGTTGGGTGGTATAAAAATGTGTAAATAAAATAAAAATAAGTAAACATTCAACTCCTTCCACTGTAAGGGCATGCATGTCTTTTCAGCCAACATATCAAGAAAAGACTATGGATGGAGGAGAAATAAGTGGGAGTAGCATCTGAATGAGAATTTAATCTATCCTGCACTATTCTAGCCAATCTACAAACCAAATCACAGTTATAGTATTTCTAGTTCTCCAAATTATGTAATGCAAGTTCTCTAAGACGGCAAAAATGTGTATAGTAGTAGAAAATGGATTGAAAACCTAATATTAAGTTAATACAAGAAAATGCCTTATATTAGGAAAAATAAAAATATATGCTGGGCAAGATTTGGTATTGGATTTTCAAAGAAGATAGTGCTCATATTTTTAAAGATTTTATTTAGCACAAAAACTAACAACTTCACAAACTTCACTCTTATTATCCATTTATCTGCCTATAATCATCCATTGGTCACTAACATGAATAAGACTTAGGCAATTGATCCTAAAACGCAGGGAATCACTTGACATCTACATGTCTAAGGGCTGATCCTCATGACTATATTCAGATGATATCACCAGCCACCAGGCTAAACATCCAGAATCAGAGCACTGGAATAGAATTTATTTACTTTTATTTATTAATTATTTATAAAATTTATTTGCTGCCCATCTCACGGTTCTGGCGACTCTGAGTGGCTTACATCAAGATAAAAGAAAACGATCAATATAAAATATGGATTTTAAATATATAAAATTGATTTAAAAATTACAAAAATTAAAACAAACTAAAAAGAAGGGTTTGGAGGGTAGAGGTGGGTACCTTCTCTGTTAATGCACCAACTACCTCCAGCCAATAGCTTCTCCTTCATATCCACCTCCAGCCCACTTAGCTAGGTTTTAAGGCCTTTCCTGCAGGCTAAAAGAGAGGGGCTGGTTCTCACCTGCTGTGGCAAGATGTTCCAAAGACCAGAGAAGGCTCTTCTGGATCCCACCAGCCAAAATTCCTTGGGGTCCGCAGTAGGTCCCTTCTGCCAGCACAAGTGGGTTGGACCAATCCCATTGGGGAAAGATGGTTCCACAGATAGAATAGGGAAAGAAGCCCCTGGGATTGCCAGAAAATGAGACAGTCTAAATGCATCTTTTTAAATGTTAGTATAAAGATAAAAACTATGTTGCGGATTATCACAATTTTAGGAAACCTTATCTTAGCTCAGTTTAACATGAATAGAACACTTTCCATTCTAGCTACACCTTCCCTTCAGGGTCTAAAGAAAAGAGGTGGCATGCAAACCTGAGGCTTGTTGCTGTAAAACCAAGACCACAGCTTTGAATTATGCTGAAACTGAGCCCTTTTGGATTGTAATTTAATGTGAACAAATCCACACTTCCTAAACCAAAGCATGAATTGAAACATAATTTTACATTTCTATTTATCCTTTTCCAAATTTGGTCATGCTATTTTCCATTTTTTTTTAAAAAAAAAAGCTTATAAAATGCATACCAAATGCATACAGTAGAAAAATGTATGTACACATTAGAAAAACATGCATAAAATGCATGCTACATTTTATATGGGCATATATATTTTTGTAAGAAAAAGAGACTGCTGCAGAAACAGGAAAGAACAAACTAAAGTTTGGAAAAATAAGAACTGAGTGAAATTGAACTTGACAGATTAGTTCATCTCTATTAATGGCATTTTCCTCCCTTCCCTATTATGCATCTTTAGCAAATTACCCAAAGCAGACAACTCCTCTTATTTTTTGCATTTGGCACTGCAAATGTTGTAGTCATAGGTATTAGATCAAAATAATGATGGCCTAGTTAGTTTGGTCAGAAAAGAGAAGCAATATCCTCACAGCAGATTATTCCCAGCAGCAAGGTGAACACCCATTCTTCAAGAAAAGCCATTTCCAAAGAACCAAACAAAAAGAAAACTAATCCACAATCACAACTGGGATGCTAACACATTTTATTTTGGGCTTCCTTAACCTGGTGTCTTCTTAATGTATTGGCACTGGAAGACCCAGAATCCCCAGCCAGTATACCATCTGGGAATTCTGAGATCTGTAGCCCCAATACATCAGAAGGACACATGGTCAGGAAAAGCTAACCTAAACAAAAGCAAGTCTTTTTCACCCTGACAATCGTGTTCATGAAGCATTCCTAGTTTACTAATAATTTAAATTAATACCTGGAGAAGCATCACAGTTCCAGGCTGAAAGAAAAAAAAGGATTAAAAATAACTAAACAAAACCGAAAGGTATGATTTGTAATGGGAACAAAAACATTTGTGTATTCTCATGAAGACTTGTTTTGTCAAAATGCACTGGGAATTTGGTTGAATCGGTAATGCAGAAAGGCTGAGATGAGAGACACTGTGCAGGCAAAGAAAGCCAGAGGCCAGCTGGAAAAGGTTCTTTAGGATCACACTGTCACTGGAAAGAGAAAACTTCTCACACACCAATGCCTCATATTTCATTTCCTGGGAATGTTGACAGTTAGCAGCACATATTTTTAGGAAAAGAAGTTCCATAACGCTGAAGTCCTCAGAGCTGGTTCTGAAGAGGAGAGCTGTAAAAATCGGGACGGAGAAGGTGGGAGAAAAAAATAAGAAGCTTTCATGCTCAAGTAAAGGGCTGCTATAGTGTTCTGTCATCTAATTGCAAACTAGAGCAGCTAAGAAATAGCATTCAGCTTCTGTGTAAATTAGAATAAATGTAAGTCACCAAAGGTTCATGGTTTCCATGAAGTCCAGTGTGAAAACGTAAAGAATTACAACAAGGAAGATTATGGGGCTCTACTATGTTCCAGAGCTGGAGTCCACAGAGTCCAGTAGTCCTGAATACAAACATTCCCTTTCTCCTCTCAAAAAAAGTCAATGGCTGCCATCCATGTCTATGGAAAAAGGAATCCCAACATTCCATTCCAACTGAAGCCAAATCTGCTGAGGGATGTGGGGAGCTTTCAGACAGCAGTTTCTGGAATGCCACAGGTTGCTCACCCTGTGGTGCTGTTTAAAAATTTATCACATGAGGAACCCATGTTGTCTATGCATGGAAAAGAAGATGAGTACTTACATAGTCACTCCATGAATGAAATCCTCTCTCTCTCTCTCTCTCTCTCTCTCTCTCTCTCTCTCTTTCTCTCTCTCTCTCCTTCCCTCCCTCCCTCCCTCTGTGTGTGTGTGTGTGTGTGTATGCAAATGATGCATTGTAACATAGATCTATCATCCATCTAACCATCATCTACAAACTTCATCTAGGCATTAATCCATTGGTCTAAGCTGGCAGTGCTAGAAAAGGGATCCTGGAGTCATGATGGGCAACTTGAGGAAAAGGTCAACCAGGGAGCAGCTGCTATAAAAAGAGAAATTCTATTCTTAGAAACATTATGAAGGAAACTGAAAATAGAACTGCCCATATAATAATGCCCTAACCTGCCACCCTCAAGGGACTGTATACAGTTCTAGTTCTTCCACATTAAGAAAGATATGGGAAGACTAGAAAAGGTGGAGAAAGAAAAGTAGGGGCACCTATTCAGGAAAAATCTATTTCAAGGCTTCTTGGTTTAAAAACAAAGGAGAATAAAAAGAGTCAGGGATCTCCACAGATGAATAGGATGGCTGCAACAGTAGGACCAAAGTTCTGCCTGTTTTATGTGCCATACATAAAAAAATGGGAAGATCTTTCATCACACTGTTGTGGCCACTGTTTTGATTTTTTTCATCATGCCCTACAACACATGGTAGAGATATATAAAATTTAAAGATGATGCAGAAAAAGGGCGATAACTTTTTCTTCCATCTTTTGTAATTTCAGAAGGCCATCTGCCACAACAGGAGATTAGGGATTGATGGAAGGAGGTACTTCTTCACAAAGCATTTAATTAAACTGTGGAATTTGCCATTTTAATCATAGTAGCCATTCTGAATTGGCTGGGCAGACTCACAGAGGACAGGCTATAAAGGGCAACTAACACTGATGGCATCTTCAGTCATAAGTAGCATACCTCAAATATTGGTTTCTGGGAATAACTGGTATGTGGGAGATAATGTGGGAGCTATCATCTTCCATTCCTGGTTTCCCCAGAATGCTTGTAACTGGCCACTGCATGATTCAAAATGCTGAACTAAGAGAACTTATGATCTAATTCAGCAGAGCTTTTATATTCTTATGAGCAACAAAATATTATCTATATTTCGAGTCTGCAAACATTTATTCTCTTTCTTTTGGTTATCAGGAAGGCTAGAAACCCATCTTAATTCATTTACTTATTTTTATACAGCTTAATAACTAGAGCTTTTCTAAGCAGTGTTTGAGAATTAAAGCTTATTAGAAGTAAAGCATCATAAAAAACTACATAAAGCACTATATATGGCAGTACAGATGTATTAAAAGCAGCTATAATAACATCAATAAATACAACAATTATAAGAAAGTAACAACAAGGCATGTTGCTAAAATACCGAAGTGACATTACAGTGCATTAAAGGAACACACCTTATCAGTTAAATCACAAATGTGACAAGTGGCACAAGAACCCACAACTTCTTCAATTTATGAAAAACTACAAAGCCTCCTGTGGTATATTTTCAAGGCTGGCACATTTATTTTGGCATGAATTGCCTTTTCATTTCTAAAAGAACTTCTTAGTCAGAGTTCACTTCTCTCAATTCATAGTTTTCATTATAAAAAGAAGAGGCAGAAAAAAACGCTGATCTTCTTTCTTTAAAAGCAACAGCCAACTGAAAATGGAACACTTTTTCCATTCAGCAGCTCATTGTCTCATGTGATTACTTTTCAGTTTTTACACTGAAGGCAGTTGGGTGCAACTTTATTTTTGCCCAAATGTGATTCCTTCTGAAAGGTCAGGATTCAATCTCCTTTCCAAAAAGAGAGAACCTCGTCTGAAGTCAGTTTTCCCAAGGGCATATTACTAAGATTCTAATGGTGTCTTACAGGTATAGTGAACTTCAATTCCTGACACTTCCAGAGATAAATTCCTGGAGTGTTGTTTCCCAGCCCAGCAGAATGTGCAATAATGCCATAATGCACATTATGTGAAGAATTGGGACTCTAGAGAACAGCTGAAGCATGCAATTTTTTTGAAAGAATTTGTTACACCAGTTTGATTCTATCAGGTAATTATATCATACAATATACAGATTAATTTAAAAAGAAAGTATCTCATATAAATTATTAATAAAGATCCACACAGTAAATTGATTCAGCTCTTCTATTTATTCTAGATAAATTTGTGTACTAATTGAAAGAGGATAAGATTTTATAGTCCTGAATCAGAATAAAAGTTGGAGAAAGATAACAAGGTATGATTTCAGAAACTCCAGCATTACATGGATAAAATTTATCCTGGGGCAGAATTCTCAAGACTTTGCGGGCCACATGTTAATAGTTTCTCAAAAAGTTCACTGTAACTTGAGTACCAATTAATTGTCCATCTTCTTCTCACTTTAAAATACGTTGTCAAAAGTTCAGTACAATCCTTCATGTTTCAGCAGATTCCCCAATAATGCCTCTGTATCCTTCTTTCTTCCATCACCTCATCCAATGTTTATAAGAGGGATGGGACATCATGACCATTCATGGGAGTCCATGGGAAAGGATACAGGTGACATTGTCAGTATCACAATGTCATGCAAATTACATAAACTGTGTGATTTGCGTCAGTCATGTCGCTTTTGCAAGTTGGAGTTTAGCAACATTCCACACATGTTTCTTGACCTCTGACATGCCAGAAGACAACCTCTTTCACAGCTATGAACAACAACGTATTTCCTTACACTCTTGCTGAAGCTCATCCCATTCTTTTTCTCAACTCCCAATCCCTTAAGTGAAATTTCTTGGAGGCCAAACCAATGCATATTTACTTGGCTTTTTAGTAAGTTCTGGCTTAGTTCCTCACTCATCCATGACTGTCTTATAACACTGCACACTCTTGGAAAACAAAACCAATAGCCCTGCCTTCACTATGCTAGTAACCCAATTCCTTTGAAGGTAAAGAACTTGCACCCTTATAAACACTGGTAAATCAATTCCTCATTGATAAAATAGAACTAAACCATTCTATGTTGTTAGTTTA